ATTCTTGTTAAATCGTGGAGGGTATTAGCCATTGTAGTTGGTGTCTATCTGTTATAGTGATTCTTCCATAGCAACGAATAGACGTATATAATGTATATTAATTATTTCTATGGATTCGTCATTCTTTACTAGCGATCAATTAACCAAAATACGTGAAAAATAGGCAGGGTGAGCAGTTCATTGCTAAATGACGCGTGGGTTGTTAGAACGTAGCAAGCATTGTTACCGTCGAAATCAGATCTGGCACAACAGCAACCTATAAATAGCTATTATATACAGACAATGATTTCCGTCATTATACGTGGCACGCAACAGTAGTTTTTCAGCAATTTTGTTCAACTTTGCGTCATGAAATAGTAGTTTTTAGTATTTTTGTGACAACACGCCTCCGCTGAGTGCATTATTGTGCATTGTATCTATAGTGTGACGCCTAGAAAGCATAATCATAGTAAGCATAGAAAGATAGAAAAAGAAGAATACGTATCTTTATGCTAGCATATGGAAATATATTGTGCAACGTGTGTATATAAAATCTATGGTCATCTAGCGTGAAGCTCGACAGGCCAGGCAGTCCCCGATGATTCATCGTTCGTAAACACCACGAATTCATCTTTATATATATGCACATAGATCGGTAGTAACCAATTGAAACTCAGTGCAGGAGCAATGTGCCTCTTGGCCTTGGCAGAGCCTCTTCTTAAATGCGGCAGAAAAATTTTCAGACACAAAAATCAGTGCCCACAACATAAAACGCGATGGTTTTGCCCCCAAACAAAATGAGTTAGCTATATAGCCGTGGTAGCGGTAGTTGGTGATCGTAGTAACTAAACTATTGAGACTGGACTGAGCAATATATATGTCTAGATAAATCTGCCCCATAGACAAGTGACACAGCCTAGCCGTAATGGCCTCTTCTTGTGTATGTCGTTGAATTAAGTTGAAAGCTTTACTGCGAATATAACTGAATTTAATTCGTTTACATTTTCTGTGGTTTATTTTTTTATTATGACGATGTCGATGTGTGAATTCTGCAAAAAAACATATATACGCGACAACACGTTATAACTACGCGTGCCGCCGTTAAGGGGCGTTGACATACGTACCGGATTGGTTTTTGCGAGACCGGAATCTAAGAAGTGATTGAGAAACCAGGATACTCCGGCTATGATGAAAGTGCAGGCGAGATGGCAGTGTATTGTATTTCGCAAGCATCTTAGTTGCCTGTATAAATAAGACGATGGCTATAGCATAAAAAAGAAATTTCCCCGTGGATGTGTGGTGGCGCCACCGTCCGTATGCCTTTGCCTGAAAATGATATGCGTCGCTGCAGTCAGACACTCAGTTTTGCTCATCTATAATTAGTCGTTTATCTAACGTGTTGTTTCTTTAATTGACATAATTTGACGCGCTGAAACATCCGCGAACAATTAATACGCATCTTCAGTCACCGCGTAATTTTCCACGCCGACTTCTT